GGAACTCATTGCCACAAGAAATAGTTGAGGCCATGAGATAAGTAATGTCGGAGAATAACAGAGTTCTCACTTTTTGTTTGGGTACAGTAAGTCAGATACTTTATTTTCTCAAGCAATTGCATAGAGGGAGAGATCTAAACAGGTCTCTCAACAGGTAAACAATTACAGCAAGCATTTATACCTTTTGTTACAGACAATAATGAGCAACAGTTGCATTTTGTTTATGCATAGGTCATTCTGATATCTTGTTTTTCTCACTAATGTAGACTCTTAGTCTACATTCCATATTATCTACACAAGGTCGCAAAAACTTCTCACACAGTTCTTTCCGACTCGCCTCACACATTCCTCGCTTCTACAAATCTCGCGTTATTAGGGTTACAGTTAGCCTGACTCTTGCTAACAAACTGTCATGCATTGCAATCCCCTTCCTGTCAGTTCTTTCTCTGCTTCCACAGTAAGAATCAGGAAGTGTGTGGACATTTACATATATAGCGAGACTACCAGTTTCAAAAGATATTGCTAAATAAATATTTTGGAAAGCCTATACACCCACGTGTTTCAGAGCACAAGCCAGTCTCTAGCTGTTAGGTATTAGGGGTGACACCCTCAGGGGGGTCAGATCATCCCCTCTCTACCTACTGCTGGGTTTCTTACACTTTCTTCTGTAGCAAGTGAGGCTGTCACTGTCAGAGAGAGGACACTGAACCAGTTGGACCATATGTCTGATACGCGATGCAATTCCTATGTTGGAAAGAAGCCAAATTATCCCCATGGAAACAGACATTAGTTCCCCGGGTTCTGGGCTATGACTTTGTGCTCAACAGAATGTGCATGAAGGGCACAATGGTCTTGGTATTTAGGTCTATGGGCCTGCACCTCTGTTACTTCCGTTGTTTCTTTTCATGAGAGACTTTCTTGCCAGCACCTCGCTTTGTCTGAGACATAATTGTGACACTCTATACCTCAAGGAAGCACCATATTCCTCATTTAAATATAATTGTGATATTGCATGTAAAGCATGCCATGTGAGGCATCAGGGAAAAGTTTATGATATGCTGAAAATCATAGTTCTAGCTAAATATGTATATCATTAGTGCAATTGAAGTTATGAGATTGTGTTGTATGGTTGTTACTAAAACATGCTGTAAGTTGGGGAATCAGCAGCCCCTGCTGGGGAATCAGCAGGCCTGTAAGCCTGACTTCAGT